AAAAATGGTGGATCATAAAATTTTTCTAAGAGACGAAAACGAATATGATGTGTTCCTGATGAATAAAGATTAATACCACATATACCAGAATGACCTAACCATGGTCCTGAATATGTTGCTAATAGACCATCTTCTGATACTGTAGCTATTCCATTAACATCATCAAATCTTTCACGAACAAGAAGTGTTGGTTCTTGAAAACTAATCATACTTTGTTCAAATGTAAATTGTGAATTATTAGTAGTAGAACCAAATTCTTTTGATTCTTCATGACTTTCTTTTAATTTAATGAGATGAATATTTTCTGTATTTTCTTCTTCGTCTATCAAATCAAGAATAGGTAATTTTTCCATTTTATTTCGATATTCTTCTAATTGTTGAATCCATCTTTTAAGATCAGTTTCAGTATAATCATCAGCTTGTTGACATGATCGAACTTCATTTGTTATTCTTTCAAATGGAATTTTAACTTCAATATTATTTCGATCAATCCATTTTTGTAAATCCGTTCGAGCAGTTTCGGCAGCAAGATTAATTCTTGCAATTGATTCTTGTTCCCATGTATCAATAATAGAAACAAGAAGTTGTACTTCACTATCACGAATCATATTACGTCCTAATAATTCATGTTCTTCAGCAAGTTTATCGACTTCTTTTGAAAGTTTTTTACGATGTTCATCAACATGTTTAGCACAAAATGTTTGTCGACATCCACGACACATAAATACATCACCACCTTTTCGACATGTAGCACAAATTTTCGATATATTATTAACTGACGTCATGTTTTTTTCTATAATAAAAAGAAACCAAATCTTTCTTTTCATTCATTTCATATATATATATATATACAATTGGAATTTATATTTGTAATAAATATAGTATGCATGCATTTTATTATCGAAATTAATGAAGAATAAGAAATGCTAATAAAAAATAAATAAATCATACGTGACTTTTTTTTCTTTTTTTAGTTTTATAGAAGAGAAAATGAAAAATGATGAAATGTGTAGAATACTTCATATAAACAAAAAAACATAATTAAAATATCAAGTTATACAAAATATGATTAGTTATTTAACTAAAACATAAATCAAAGAACTAATTTTTAAAACATATTTATAACTGAATCAAACGAATCTGTAAGGACATTTTTCAATGACCAGCGCTGCCGCGAATCCTTTTTGATAGGAATGTTTGCTTTTATTTTTATCACAAGAATTATATTACAAAGATGAACACTTAACAATATTGTAAAGTTTTCAATAAAAAATCATTTGTTGAAAGTAATTTTTACACGCTTAGACAGTCAATTCTTCACTATAATTCAGGTCTAAATATTTAACCAAGAATCAGACGTTGGTAGAAGAGATATAATTATCACTAGGAAAATTCTTATCATGTACTACATGTTTTCATAGATAAATAATTTCATAAGAAATATTAATGAATAATCTCTACTAATAGTTATAAATATATGTTACCTATAGCGATGAAAACAGAATGTTATTGCACAACATCAATAAAATGCAATATAAAATTATGATTAATAAGATGAGAAAACGTTCGAGCCGTGCTCTCGGGTTTTGATACAATGTTCACATACCTTATGAGCCTGAAGCATATGGACGCGAAATTTCGGTTTCGCAAGCCTGGGAGTAAATCGATACTCGAATATTTTTTTTCTCTAAATTTGAACATCTGTTGATAGTACTTTCGAATTTATTTTCATAATCAAGAACTTAAATTTACAGCTCACAGTCAATTTTTTACTTTTACAAATCTATATAAAACAGTAGAAGATGAATACGATTATAGTACGCTCGAACTGTAGTACGATATTCAATTGGAGATGTAGAAATCAAATATTTCAATCACATCTATTCAGATATCTTAAAGTTTATTTAAGATTAAAAAATGGTTGCTCCATTTGGAGAATCATTGTCTGATTTTGAGCAATCAGTAAAACTAATTCCAAACAATACAATGAACATATTATTTACCATTAAAATAAGAAAAATCATTCATGATTTAAACTTTTTTATAATTATTATAACTTCAATTGTGTTTTGTGTAATATTAAATCACTTTCTTTTACAATGGACAAAAATCATTAGGAGATAATCAAATCATAAGAGTTTATTTAATGCAATGCGAAGTAAAGCATTTATGTAGTGACGTATGATGAAAATATCGAGAGTAAACCAATAGCATCCGTTTTCCAATCTTTCGTACTACGTCTAGTTCGTGTACAGGAAGTCTCGCAAAAACATGATTTTGATTACGGACTTTGTTTTTTTTTGCATATTTCGAGATAATTAAAACGAAAAGAACTAGATGTTATTTGAGTTTCACTCTACTATAAATATGCGATGCGAGGCTCGATATCGAAATCACGACTTCAGGGTTTTTGCAGTTATTCAAAAATGAAGTCAAATCTATGTGCTATCAAAGTATAAGTGACACTGTAAATTTATCAAATGAGTTCATTTAAATCGAGAATTTAAACTAACATGTGTCGAAACAACGCTGATAGTTTATTGTTTGATTATCTAGATGATTCATTTTCTGTCATCAGCTGCACTTTCAACTGTAAAATATTTGTTAGAAGAAGATGGCGTCTAAATTTTGCTTTTTCTTTTCGTTTTATTTATACGAAAATGTGAAAAAAATAATATTGAGTCTCGCACAGCGTCTTTTTATAATAAAAAAGAGTAGATATAATTTGATTTTTTGATATAATTTATCTGTTGTGTGTTTCTTCCACTGTATACTTATATTTCACTTCATTTTCAGTCACACTTATGATGAATATTGTACAAAATGATGTACAACACAGTTCTATTTGCATAGTTGGCAGAGGAACG